AAAAAAAAAAAAAAAAAAAAAAAAAAACCCAAGCATATGCAGCCACCTTCATCAAAAGAATTACAGAAATTTGGCATGACTGGTTGGGAGCAGGGATCTTCCAGACCAAATATTTTCCAACCCCCAAGGGAAGTAAGGCAGGGTAGAGACAGCCCTGCAGGCTTTCCAGTTCTCTGCTGAGACCAGGTATTTCCTTACTCAAGTTCAGCACATGAGTTAGATGTTAAGCAGAACTTCCAGACATCAGCTGGATGTGGTGGTGCACGCCTGTAGTCCCAGCACTGAGAAGGCTGAGGCAGGAGGATCATTTTGAGTTTGAGACCAGCCTGGGCTACAAAGTGCGCTAAAGGCCAGTCAGAACTACATAGCAAGACCCTGTCTCATAAAGACAAAAGCAAAATAATAAATAAAAGAATTCCCAGAAGTCAAGAGAGCAAGGGGCAAGGTTATTTCCTGGGTCCCTGCTACTATGCCTTGGAGTTGAGGTATGTACCCATGCAAACATACTGGTACTTTTGTGGTACCTCAGCGTGCTACAAACAGGTCCTAACTCCAAGAAGTAGTTTTTTGCTGTTTTTTAGTACAGGGCCTCATTACATAATTCAGACTGCCTTTAAACTATGTAGCCCAGGGTGGCCTTAAATTTGCAGTGATCCTCCTGCCTCAGCCTCCCAAGTGGTGGGACTACAGGCGTGTGCTACCCTGCCTGGCTAAGTAGTTTTTTGACCTGCAGCCAGTCTCCACTAACTGAACTCTACATGGAACCAGTTTTCTCTGGGTCTCAAAGGCTGTGGGCAAAGGAAGCAGTCTAGAGGCTGCAAGAGGGAGGTGTTGAGGGATGGTGGGGCAGAGATGAGTCCCAAAAGAACTACCAATTTTCCTGTGACAAATGGCCCCCTGGAGACACAGCTGCTGCATGTCTGCCTCCCACGTGCTGAGCAGTGTCTCAGGACAAGCCCTTTCTGGGCACTGAATCATGCTCTGCCTACCCAGATATCCTGACCACCCCAGGCAGGCCAGGGAACGGGGTATGAGCACCCAGGACCTACAGGTCCAAGGGCCAAGCAGCCAGGCTAGAAACTAAACTCTGCCCCAAGGCCAACACTAAAGCTGCCTTGAGCTGGATCACCAGGAGGGGCCAGACAGTGGAAGCGGGAGCTGGGATGGAACTGCAGCCCCACTTCACAGGGGCCCAAACTGAAGGACCCTTGCCCAGGAGATGCCCCGCTCCAGGGCAGAAGCACGTGACAGCACCTTTCCCACCACCTCTACCGCACCCAACCTCACTGGGTTCTCTGCCGCCCACAACCCCTTGCAAATGGGGAAACTGAGGAGCAAGGAAGTTTTTCTTAGTTGGCTAAGGGGAGAGCTTACATACTCAGATGCTGGAGCACAAACCCAGCCCTTCCAGTTACAGAATGGTTAGGGCTTCTATGAGGGCCACCCGGTCCTCTCCCGTCACATGGCCCTCCCACCACTCAAGTCTAGGCACCTACAGAAGGCAGGGAAGGGAAATAGATGCTCGGAGGCAGTGGCATTGTAATAAAGACACTGCTTTTATTTAGTTTGATATGTTTCTATACAGAATGCAGAAAACACATCTTAAAATCATATAGAAGAAAACAAAAACACGTCAGTGGTTGGTGAACACTTGAATGTGAGATTGGCTCTCCGTCTCAGAGTCCAAAGGCCATCTCCAGCCCAGCGCTCAGGCAGGAGGCCGTCTGCAAGGGCATTGTTGCTGTTGCTATTCTGTTCACTGCCCATTGCCTCCAGTTGCTATGGCAACAGGCCATTCTCTGGTCTCTCCTGGCGATGCCCAACGGTGGGGTTGCTAGGGGCAACAGAGCTATTGGAAGGCCTTTCAAAGCCCTCACCTGGAACACTGGGAATTATTTGTTTTTTGACAAGTCATCAGAAATAATCTCACCAGGTCAGATCCTACTTGTGCTCCTGCTCTGGGAAGTCAGGAAAACTCCGGAAAGGACAGGGCTTAAAGGAAAGAGGCCTGGTCACCAGCACTGAGCCCCTTGCACAGGAGCACTGTCCACTGAGTACCCAGCTGGGGGTGGGGCAGGGGAAAAGGGTGGCCCCGTGGGACAGGCGGGGGAGAAGAGCAGAATGGAGCCCCTGCCCTCCTGCTGGTCCCTCCCTCCTGAGGCAGCACACAGTCCTCTGCGAAACACTCAATATGGCTTAGAAGTAGCTGCTCCATGTGCAAAGGGAGCCCAGGTCCACCCGCCCACCCTCCAGTAGGGAAGGGATACATTATTGCGAAAGGCATTCCTCCCTAAAAGTTACAGGGAATAACTCAGACATCAAGAAAAGTCATGCTCAAGATGGTTTTTCCAGAGGAGGCGAATGGAAGCAGAGTGGGCACCCCTGAGTCATGGGACAGAGATGCAGATGGACGGACGGATGTTACGCTAAAAAAGGCAAAAGAAGTCCCAGTGTAATTCCAGAATTTAAACCATTAGGAAAAGAAGAGGGGAGATCAGAATGAGCAAAGCTGTCAGTTCCATGGAATCGACACTAAGAGCTTTTACAAACTGCTGTAAGCATCACCATTTTTAATCTTTTTTAATAAAACAATTGGAGGTTGTATAAAAACTTTAGTAAAAAATTAGCTTTGAGAGCCCACAGGTTTTTACTATGAACTATTGCTGGCACTCCCACCCAGCTGCCAGACCTTTTCCAGCCGTGCAGGCCCGAGGCCTGGGACTGGAGCGCCAGAGAAGAGACGGGGCGGGGCGGGGCGGGGCTGTGGGCTGTTGGGACAAAGCGGCCAAGGTCAAGTGAGAAAAGAGCATCACATGACATAAAAATATTGCATCTTCACCAAAATGTCCCCCACTGAGTGTTTCAAAAAAAACATGGTATTTCTTTTAGAAGGGGAAAAAAACACACGAAGAAAAAAACTAAGCTGATGTGGTCGAGTTCTTCGACCTCCCAGGTACCCCCAAGAGCAGCTGGTCCACCCTGGAGCACCTAGGTTG